CCCCCTCCCCCCCTCCAAACCCTACCCCGCTTCACTGAATCTGTTTTGTTGTAATGGAGATCTGTTTTTCTCTGGATATACCCCTGTAATTTTAGCAGTGTCTCATGATGGAAACGGGAGCGTTTTTTGTTTCTCGTTTGACAGTCTACGTCGAGATTTGTGGCATTAGTGTCTACCTGTCTTTTCAGACGCAATTCAGTTTGCTTGAAATTCAGGTCAGACGTGATGGCTCCTTCAAATCTGTCATTTGCAACTCCCATCTGGGATGGCTGGTGGATGGTTGGCGGGTGCTCTGGTGTGATTCGCTCCTTCTCTCCTATCAACCATCTGTAGAGATTATCTGTTCACCTTCTTTTCATTGCACAGTGCAGCCTCTCTATAACGACATCGTCGGGACAAGAAAAAAATGTCGTTATAGAGAGTTGTCATATTAGAGAGGCAACGAAAAATTACTAATGATATGTAAGGAAAAAAATTGGGACTTGGGCCCCATGTCACTATACAGAGGATGTTGTTTTATCGAAGGTCATTATGGAGAGGCTGCACTGTATATTACTCTCTAGGAACACCTCTTGACTTTGGCACTTGTTGTTGTTAGCGATCCAGGACTTTGGCACTTAAATAACCTAATTGTTTTGCAAGTGCCACAAAACCCTAACTGAAACTAAAGACAAGAGGAGATAGCTAGATCTAGTGGGCTCTCTGATCTGGTCTGCTGCTACTTTTTGGGGTTTTTTTGCACTGAGGTTTCAGTTATCCTGGACTGTTCCTGGGGAAGTCTGGTCTCTGTCATGCTGACTCACCATTTAACGTCAACTCTCTGCGACAATTATTTTAAGTTGGAAGTTGGATTGATTTCTAGTCTTGGTTCCATGTTGCCTACCCCGAGGCTCAAGGCCTGTCTGTGCGCCAGTCAGTGTTTGTGTTTTAGGATTAATGTATGTCCACTATTCAAGTCAGTAAAAAAAGCGTCAATCATTTTGTTAGAATTGTCAGGCAGGTTTGAATTCGAAATTTGAAATGTGTGGTTGGTTGGTGGGTGCTCTCGTGTGGTTTGCTCCTTTTTTTTCTATCAAACACCTATCGTCCTGATCTTTCCCCCTTCTTTTTTTATATTCTGTTGCTCTCTTGTAACACATCTAATCTTCACACATCATATTGTTGCAAGTGCTGTAAAACTCTTACTAAAACTAAACTAAAATTTGAAATGTAGGTGGGGGGGGGGTTTTTTACACCCCCCGTCATAGGTGTTTTTTAACGTCTTCTCTCTCCCCTCTCCCCTTCCCCCTCTTCTCCTTGCTCCCCCCCCCTATTCTCCC